AGATACTAAATTCAATGTCTTGTATCAGAAAAAGAAAAGAAGGCAGGAAAGAAGGGAAGGAAAGAGGAATACAAGGAAGAAGGGAAGGAAAAGGAGAAGAAGGAAAGGGAAAAATATTTATCATCTGTTTTTTAATGGGAATTATGAGCTGAAAAGTAATCTTTTGAAAATTCTTATTCATTCCAAAAAATTAACCTAAGCATCAATAAACTGGTTATACTTGTTAAATAATGTCTTTAAAATAATTGTTTATATTGGAATCTGCAGACCAAAGGTAAGTTAGTATTTTCCAAAGATCAGGTCTCTATGAATATAAAAATTAATGGTTCCTTTAAAAGATGTAAGGGGGTTGATCAAATGTAAATTTCACACAAATATTACATGACTTAAATATTCAAAAATTGTGCAATAATATATAATACACAAGTAAGCAGATGACACTTGAATTGATGGCAACAAATCCCTAAACACCTCGACTCTCAGAGATAAGAGTCAGGTAGGAAGTGTACTGAAAACAAATAGAATTTTCTTTCCCACAGAAAAAGTTGGTCAACACAACAAAATTCATTACAACTTTTTTGTGTTCAATTAATATTTTTTCCCCTTTCTATTAAGTCTAGGAGGTCAACAATCTGATTGGCAACAATCAGATACCTATGATATCAAGGAAAAAATTACAGACTCCTTTCATAGTTTTAGGTAATCTAGGACAATTAACCTTAAAGAATATTCTGCTATGTTTCTAATTGTCATTGGATACAAAATTTAACATCCTATAAAATCAATTTGCAGAAACAAGAGGTTTCCAAAAATACTTTGGCTAAATAAATAAATTGTGATTCTTTAATATCTACAATAAAAGTTTTACTCAATTAAATATGAAACTAGATCTCTCAAATAAGCAAAAACAAGAATAAAATATAAAAAAAGAAATTAAGGTAGAATTTAGGAAGTGGAAAACACTCCCATGCTCCCGGATTGGGAGGATTAACATTGTGAAAATAGCAAAACTGCTCCAGACTATCTACAAATTCAATGCAATACCTATCAATATTCCAACCTCTTTCTTCAATGAAATAGAAGCAACTCAAAAATTCATATGGAACAATAAAAGACCCCGAATAGCAAAAATAATCCTTAGCAGAAAGAACAGTGCTGGAGGAATATCAATACCAAATTTCAAACTGTACTACAAAGCCATAGTAATCAAAACAGCTTGGTGGCACAAGTACAGACCTGAGGATTAATGGAATAGAGCTGAAGACCCAGAATGAACCCACCGACCTATAGCCACCTAATCTTTGATAACGAAGCTAAAAAAAAAAAAAATAGAATGGAAGAAAAACATCCTCTTAGGTAAATGGTGCTGGCAAAATTGGTTAAACAACTATAGAAAACTAAAGCTAGATCCTTATATCACCCTGCACCAGAATCAACTCCAAATGGATCAAAGACCTCGAAGTCAGAGCAGATACCCTGAAAACATTACAGGAAGGAATAGGAGAAATTCTAGGGCTCTTTGGCACAGGCTGAAATTTTCTTAATAGAGACCCAGAAACACAACAAATCAAAGAAAAGTTGGACAAATGGGATTGCATGAAATTCCATAGTTTCTGCATGGCAAAGGACATGGCTAGCAAGATCAACAGAAAACCCAGATCTTCACTAGCCATAAACTGACAAGGGTCTCATATCTAAAATATACCTGGAACTCAAAAAAATATATCCACCAACAACAAATCCTCAAAGAAACAACTGCCCAATAAATAAGTGGGCTAAAGACCTAAAGAGAAACTTCTGTGAAGAGGAAATAAGAATGGCTAATGGACACACAAAGAACCTTCTCTAGGCATAAAAAAAAAATGCAAATCAAAACAACATTGAGATTCCCCCTCATTCCAGTTAGAATGGCTATAATCAAGAACTCTAATAACAACAGATGCTGAAGGAGATGTGACCAAAAGAGAACCCTACTGCATTGCTGGTGGGAGTGTAAACTTGTTTAATCACTTTGGAAAGCAGTATGGAGGTTCCTCAAAAGACTCCACACACAGCTCCCCTATGACCCAGCAATCCCACTTTGGGGCATTTACCCAAATGATTACAAACAAGGCCATACTAAAGCTACCATCATAACTATGTTTATTTCAGCACTATTCACATAGCTAAGATATGGAAACAAACCAGATGAACCTCAGTAGATGAATGGATCAAGAAAATGTGGTATAAATACACAACAGAATTTTATGCCTCCATCAAAAGAATGACATTGCCCCATTTGTTAGGAAATGGAAAGACTTGGAAAAAATTATATTAAGTGAAGTAAGCCAGGCCAGAAACATAGGTCCCATGGTTTCCGTTATTTGCAATAACTAGTATAAGTATAGGACAAGCAGAAAAGGTTAAAAGCTATGTACATATGACCATATAAGATGATGTTAAGTGAAATGAACCCCAAGATAGGGACACAATTTTTTTTCTTGCTTGCTATTGTTTTTAATGTATTTAAAAATTACTATGTGAATTTTTTTTGTTTCTTTTGTATGTTCTTCCACCACGGTGTAACCCCTGTTTTCACTGTATTTTATTTCAGTGCCCTGCATCTTGTATATACATTTTTCTAATTTGGGGAGGGGAAAGGAAATAAAATAATTCTAAAATCATGATATAGGTTTACCCATTGTAGCAATGAATCTACAAGACACTATGTTGAAAACAAATTGTACAACTTGGAGGGGGAGGGGAAAGTTGGAGAGTTGGGGAGGGAAGGGTTGGTAGGGAAAAAACAAAGGAGGAGGTAACATTGCTCAACAGGAAATGTGCTCATAACCTTACTCAATGTACACTATTTTTACAATTAAAAACATAAAAAAGAATAAACTATCATACTGTTTACACAGTAGTCTGTCTTTTATCATGAATAAATAAATAAATGAATAAATAAGGACAGTTGTCAATAAAATATACTGCTTTGAGAAACTTTGTAGGAACCAACATACTTTGCATTACTGGAAATCTTTTTTTCCATTTCTTGAGAAAAGCTGTTAAAAATGTAGTAATTCAAGGCCTCAATTCCAAGAAAATTGATTAATTTCAAAATATAAAGTGAGAAATCTTTCCGGGTTAGGGCTAGCCCTTGGTGTTGATACATGACAAGACTATTGGAAAAAACATGAGTTATGAGGATTCCAAATTCATTCTTCCCAAAAGCAGATGTACTACCAATCATGGCAAGTACGTGACCCATCCCCATTACACCAACTCTCTCCTTTCACCATGTCAAAGATACCAAATGGCTTCAGCTGGCCAGAAAAATATTAGTTAAGATTTGTTTTTCATCAGAGTATGCGAAACTGATGAAGACCAGAAATTCGCCACATAAAATAATGCTATTTGTTATATATAAATGCTGATGAATGGAAAAGGTCATTACTCTAAACTACTAGTATAGTGTTTTATGTCATTGGGTCATCTGGTTGAGCTTCTACCAAAAAACAAGTGCAAATATGATAACAAAATTCTGATAGTAGTTCAAGTCTTTACTCCACCTATTTTAAATTATTATTTTGAGAACCTCAATACATTAAAACTTACATGAATTGACATTTAATTAAAAAGAACATACATCTTCAAAATATGAAGTACTGAATCCAGATACTTTGTATAGATTATTATCTATAATATAGCTGAAAATATCTACTTTATTTATCTCTTAAAATACATCTCTGATTAAATTTCTTTATCATTTTGAATTAAAAATAGCTCTCAATTTTGTCTGTAATTTAATTAAGATTTTCTTCCTTTTCTTTTTTTCTTTTTTTTTTTTTTGGGTTCGGTTGTGGGGCCTGAACTCTGGGCCTGGGCACTGTCCCTCAGCTCTTCAGCTCAAGGCTAGTGCTCTACCACTTGAGCCACACAGCGCCACTTCCGGCTTTTTTCTTATGTGGTGCTGAGGAATCGAACCCAGGGCCTCGAGCATGCAAGGCAAGTGCTCTACCACTGAGCCACCTTCCCAGCCCCTTTCTTCCTTTTCTTCAACTATAAAAAGTATATCTAAAAAGAAAAAAAAGTATATCTAAATGATAAGCCAAAGGTAAAAAATAAATTTAATGTCTAATCCACTTAGGTAAAATATGAAGATGATAATTACAGGAACTTAAATAAGTAAACTAGCACCTTGATATAAACTGAAGCAGGAATTGAGTGATATAAGTAGCAGATATTATTTTCTACAAATCATGCAATCTCTGAAAGCTGGCACTAAAAGTGATTCTTTCCTATTTTAGTATTTCTAAGTTAAAGGCATAAATAATGTATCCTTAAACCAATATTGTGTCATTTGAAAGTCTGAATATATTATAATAAAGTAGAACATAATTCATAATTATCAAATATCTAAATGTAGATAAGCTTTTCTTTCCTAAAAATCAGTATTTTTCCAAACTTATTTTAGTAAGATGTTGTCATAATCATCTAAGTCCCATTCTTTTAAAATGTGCATTCATGTAGTTAACTTTATGATATTTTAAAAATAAAGCATTTAAAAATAAGAAACAATAATTATTTTTTTAATTTATTAATATGAAACTGAAAAAAATGTGCTGCTGGTACTAGGGTTTGAACTGAGTGCCTTAGAGCTCTCACTCAAATCTTTAAACTCTTGGCTGATACTCTAAAACTTGATTCATGCTTCCAGTTCTTGATTTTTTTCCCCCTAGTTAGCTGAAGTTAAAATTCTCAAAGATTTGCCTACCCAGACTGGCTTTGAACCACAATCTTCAGCTCTTAAGTCACATGAGTACTTGGATTATAAGCATGAGTCACTTGTGCCTGGCTAACATAACGTTTTTTTTTTTTTATCTCTAAAGCATTCTTTAACTTGGAAACCAAATACTCTCCATGTTTATATTTCCAAGATGTTCTGGGAATAATGTGCTCTTTACTTAAATATTAGATACAATGCCTCAAAGGGCTGTGACATTATAAAAAGTTGTACTTACTGATACATCTTTCAGGCTTTTATCCAAAGAGAAATGACAAGATTCTTTAGAAAAATTAAACTTGTATGTGTCCATCGATCCTGCTCCTGACACCAATGCTTTCCCCAGTTCGTCAACATATTTTTCTTTCTCCATTGACATGTCTTCAGCTTCTTGGGAAATCTCTGATGCAGAAACTATGGGAACCATATTAATAAAAATGTTAAAATAAAAATTCTAAATATAAAAACTGTATTTACCCATCACTACCAATTTATTTTCCATGTAAAAAATTTGAAAAAAGCAAAATCAATCCCTATTCTAGACATTTTTTAAACCAAATTATACTATTTAATGGAGCTAGTAATTTTTGAGACACACAACAAGTTAGTCTCAAATTTCAGCTAAAAAGCATTATGCTCTTAGAATTCTTTTCAAATCTCAGATGAAATATAAATTGGAAGTTGCTACTGAAAAGCCTGTTTTTGTGTACCTGCTCTGAGGTCATAACTGGATAGGTCATTTCCTATAATGATTAATAGATCCAATACTTTATAATACCTTTCTTCCTTGTCTCAAAATTTCAGTAGTCTCTTATCTATTTCTAATACACATGGACATGCAAATTAAGTAAAAATTATTCCTCTCATCTCATGTTCTAACAATAGAAATTGTCAATGAAGGGAAGAGATAAAGAAGAAATGGGAAGGAACTAGTTATTAGATGTATCCTCTATAATATATAGAATATCATACATATGGTTTCCCATTTTCTTTGGTAACTATATTTAAAGTTGATATTTTACCATCAATGAAACAATTTCAATTACTACACTTTGAATTCTAGATACTCTCTTTCTTTATTTTTCATAATATCCTGAGGTTTTTGCTGTTGTTTCTGATGACACTGGGTTTTGAATACAAGGCCTCCAGTTTGCCCAAAAGGTTGATCAGCTGGCACCCTACCACTTCAGCCATACCTCCAAGCTACCATATTGCTGGTTATATTGCATAGGTTGGCTTTGAAATGAGATCCTCTACTTCTCAGCCTCATGAGTAACTAGGATTAAAGGCATGCGCCACAAGTACCTGGCTGCCCTGTTCTTACTCTACCCTCCTAAAGCTATAGTTTGGATGTGGTTTGTATTGCCAGCTTGGTCCTCAATGTATGTCTATAAGAGGTAGCAATTTAAGAAGTTAGTTAGACTATGAAAGACTTAGATCATGCAGAGCTCAGCCCTAGGAAATAACATATTTCTCAGGGAATCTTGAGTTCGTTTCTCAACAGAGAATTTTTCAAAGAAGATACTGATCCTAATTTGCTGACTTCTTGATTCAAGATATGATCTCTATCTCCCACAGAGGAACACATGTTTGTAATGTCATCTCCCACTAAATCCTCAATAGAGTCCAACAGCATCATTTGATATTGAACTTTCATCCTCCAAAACTGTGATTTCCATGTCTGTGTTACCATTCTTTAATTGTAAATATTACATGTATTGACTGCAATATTTTACTTTCACTACATTCTTTCAATATACATTTATTTTTTATTATCTTTAGTAGCTCTAAAAAGGAGTTGCCATTCAATAGTCGTCTGCCTCAGGTATTTTATGATAATAATGAAAATGGACTATTGTACTTTCTTGAAAATGCTTGAAAAATTTAAACATATGTAACATTTATTTAAATTGTTTATTATGGTTGTTTCCTAAGGTATTAATTCTTTTCATTTTTGTGTTAAAATTTTTTGTTCTTATTTTCCCATCTATACCTTGTATTTGAGCATGTATTTTCTTTCAACAGTGTAGAAAGTGTTTTGGGAAGAAGTTATCTTAAATGGTTAAAGGCTGCCTTTTTTAGTGTCTACTTTCAGATTTCACCAGTTCTGGAACAGTTTTGAAATTTAATTTCTTACTCTTGAGACAAAGTGTTCCAGTTTAACCTTCTCTCAAAAACACATAAAAGAAGCTTAGGGTTCTAATATTTTGGGGACTTTTATACATCTATAATCCTGAGAGAGTATTCTGTTGAAGCTCCAGATCAGAGAGCAGTGTTTTTCAGAAAATTTCATTAACAGGATAACTCTTTCAGGTTCATTTTATTATATAGAGAGTTCAACTCTAATTACTTCAGTAGCCTGCAGTCTCAGCATTCTGCCCCATCTTTCATTTCAATCACAATCACTTAGACATATATATCATCCAGCTATTCCATGAAGCTATAGTTACTTCTAGTTTTCAGACATCTACCCATTTATGGCACTGGAAGTTTTTTTTTTCTCCATATGTGTCTTGGTTTAGTTTTCTTTTTAAAACATAAAATTTAAAAACTGGGCACCAGTGATTCATGCCTATAATCCTAGCTACTTAGAAGGCTGAGATCCAAGAATTGCAGTGAAAGCCAGTCTAGCAAGAAATCTGTGAGATTTTTATCTCCAATTAACCATCAAAAAGCCAGAAATGAAGTGTTGGCTCAAGTGGTAAAGCACTACCCTGAAGGAAAAAAACCTTAGAGGCAGTGCCCAAGCCCTGAGTTCAAGCCCCATGATTAGCACACACACAAAAAATTTTGTTTAATCTAACATTAAGTTGGAATGTGTGGGCAGTTAAATGACTTCTGGTGCCAATGCAGGCTATTAAAAAATAAAAAAAATACAAAGACTGGTATGATTTTTATTCCTCATAATTCTAAAAGATATGATTTTCATTTTGCAAAACAGAAAAGTAAAGCTTGGACAGACAATATCTAGGATAATACAGTAAGCAAGTGATCAGGCTAGGATTCACTTAGGTCTCTCTAGTTGCTTTCATTTGAAGTTACGCAGAGAAACTGGATGAATTATTTTCTTCCCTAACTTTGAAAAACACATCAGCCTAAAATATTATGGAATATAAGACAATGTTGATTAAAATACATATCTTCATGACTGTCTATTTACTGTGAAGCATCTAGAAACTCCATGACAGACGATGCAAAAGAGTATCTCATAATGTATCCATCATTCTATATGATCAGTTTGCGATAACAAGTCCTGATGATATGATTCCCATAATGTCATATAGCCTCTGAACAGAGGTTAAAAAAAATACTTTTTATACCTACATGATCTTAGAGATTCTTAACACTTCCAGACACTTTCTCTCTAAAATAGATAAACATTTAAGTATCATCACTAACAAATCTATTGTGCTTTAAAATATCATGGTTGTCTGATGAAAAACAAAAATGACAAATACTTCCTATTTAAGGAATAATTTAAAATTCTGTATTTGGATTATTTTTAAAGTTATTAGTACTAAGGAAAAAAATATTTAATAGAGGTAAAAGTCACTCTGTTGCCCTTAATGAAACTAAAAAAGAAAATAGAAAAGAAAACTCAGCCGGGCGCCAGTAGCTCACACCTGTAATCCTAGCTACTGAGGAGCCTGAGACCTGAGGATCACTGTTCAAAGCCAGCCTGGGCAGAAAAGTCCGTGAAACTATTAGCTACAATAAACCACCAGAAAACCGGAAGTCGCTGTAGCTCAAGTGATAGAGCACTTGCCTTGAGCTGAAGAGCTGAGGGACAGCGCTCAGGCCCAGAGTTCAAGGCCCACGACCGAGAAAAAAAAAAAAAACTCAAAGGCAATCTACTAACAAAATGTCAAGTTTAGAACATCATAAATGTCACTAAAAGAAAAAGATATGTATCTGAAAATATTTAACAGAAATTATTCATTCAACTCATCTGCTTATAAAATGCTTAATAGTAAGCACTGTGCTCCATGCATCATCCCAAGCACAATACATTTAAACATTAAAACAAAAATGTCATCTACATGGAGAACTAAGTTCTTACATCTTATAACAAAGCTTTAGATGACCTCTAAGCCACCTTCTTATATCCCTACCACTATGAATTCTGAAATTATTGTGAGTATACTCAATCAATTTATGTCAAAGAAAAAAACATATTAGAGGAAGCCATTTTATTTTTTTTCCTCTCTACATTTTTCCCTTTGAAACTACATAAAAAGCATAGATTTAAAAAAATTAAAACTTCCTCTAACAAGGAGCTAAGCCCACTAGTAGTTCACATTTATAATGCTAGCTACTAAAGAGGTTGAGATCAAAGGAACAAGATTCAAAGCCAGCCTAGGCAGAGAAGTCCATCAGACTGAATCTCCAATTAACCACCAAAAAGCCAAAAGTGGTGCTATGGCTCAAGTGGTATACCACTAGCCTTGAGCAAAAAAGCTAAGGGAGAGTGCCAGGGTCCTGAATTTAAGCTCTAACACACACACACACACACACACACACACACACACACATTCTTACTCTAATACAAAAAGGATTGTCAAAATCTGGCTTCCTATTCAACATGGTGGCAGGTTCAACTTTACGCTAAACACAGATATAAAAAGAACAGCCGTAACTGGCAGGCAAGGTGATCAACACCTGTACTTGGGAGACATTGACTGAGGAAAATCTCAAGTAGTAGTTTGCTAGCAAGTACATGCCCTGGGTTGATACCCCAGTACTGCCAAATAATGAAAGTTCAATATAACTTCAATGACCAGAAATAAAAGAAATACTAAAATTCACCAAGAATATGAAATGAGTGGTACACACCTGTAATACCAGTTACTTAAGAGGCAGGAAAAGGAGGATCTATGTCTGAATTCAACCAGGTTAGAAATGACTCATCCTATCAAAAAAGTACATTGGAAACAACTAGGATGTGGCCCAAGTCATAGAGCACTTTCCTGACAAATGCAAGGTACTGAGTTCAATCCACAATACTACTACCTAATTAAACAAATAAAAAGTAAAGCTAAGCTACATCATAATAATGTAAGCAGATCAAAACAAATGAAACTATTCTCAAGCCAGAAGTTAAAAGACATCACTTTTACACTGTAGGTATATTAAGATAATGAAGAGAGATTCTTTGCCTCCACTATGTATGTATAACTGACCAAAGCATTGCACACATTTTATATTTCTTATCGTTCAGAAAGCAGACATTATTAACATCCCAATAAGAATCTTGAAGATTCCATCACAAACATACTTCATTATTTCATTAACAATCATTTTCCCCCAGGGCTCTGTCATATCATTTCCATGTAAGATATTACCAAATGCATAAGTTTAGGCAATTATTAGAGAACTCAATTATTTGAAAGTAAAATAACCAGCAAAACTTCAACTGCTGTTCAATAAAATAAACACTACTCCAGAGTGGGCAAATGTAAGTTTCTTACTGCCAACATGAATTTTTTTTTAAGAGTCAAAGAGTGGTCATTCATCATTAACTCACTTTGCAACTAAACCCTCTATAATACTGAAGTGATGATAGGCCTCATGTTAATTAGACCCTTAAACATTCAAAACAACAGTCAGTTTAGTATGTGGGAGATTAAAAGGAACTCCACATCCTTTTAATTTAATTCAAATGAAAAGAGGAAAAAAAAAACATCCTAATTGAAGGTTACAGCAATCAAAAAGATGAACTACAACAACAGTAAAGAAAAAAAAAGCAAAAACAAGAAAAAAATCCCAGGATGAGGTATAGGAAGGAAATCTATTGTCATGCTTCAATTATTTGATTTTTTGGACATTCTTAATCATGTTATTGTCTGTATGTTAAACACTATATTACAGTTATGTAATAACCCCTAGATAAGCATAAAAATGGTGTTTTATTATTATTTGCTTACATCTTTTCCCACTAAGTTTAAACAAGAATGAATAACAAGAGCTATAAAACATAAGCAAAATTTTAAAAATTTGGTTATATATCCTTAAAATGAACATACACTACACTATAAATAACCTGTTTGTAAGCTTATGCAGCATAGGAAGGTAAATGCTTTAACAAATCACTACAGAATATACGGATTTTGCTTCATTTTTGTCACAGTGAAAACAAATGGTAGTGTATACTGAATTTATGATTGCTCACTATAAAGGAATATGAAGGGTTTTTACTCAAAAGAAAAATATGTCAACTCCAATATGAAACATTTTTTTCTTTTATTAATTAATTAATCAATTTATGTATATTAGTACTGAAGAACTCAGAGCACTGATGGCTATTTAGTTAACAGCTGGTGCTCTACCACTTGAGCCACACCTCCAGTGCCAGCTTCTCCTTGGTTAATTGCAAATAAGAGTCTTAAAGATTTGTCTGCCTGGACTAGCTTTCAACCTCAATTCTCAGATTTTTCATCCTCCTGAGTACCTAGGCAAGAATGAGTTACTAGCATTTCTGCTCATTTTCTTTCTTTTTAGCCAGTGTTATATATAATTGCATATTTTCCATCAAAAAAGCATTAACCTATAGCTATGGCCTTCTGTATTATCCTTAATAGCATACAAAGAACTAACGACAATTCCTCCTCCACTCACTCCTGTGTAACACCAACCAATCAATAACCAATTTCTCTGACATAGACCTATATAATGTAAAGAATCACCATAAGGATTTGTGACCATGAATTTTCTTTATTTTATAATAATCTCACTATCAACATTCTTGTTCTGTCTTGAAAGACAAATAATTTTGCAAGTGCAAAATCAGTTTTGTTAATAACACAATCTGTCACATTGAAGAAACTGAATTTTAAAATGCACTTTAATATTTTTAAGTATATAGTAATTGAGAAGTAAATTTGGGGAAAATATATTAAAACTTAGACACTATAAACATCATACTTACATAATTACACAATTATTTCAACAAAATACTTTAGAACGTTGAAAGTTTGCTATGTGAATAAAAAGTAGCTTTCAATATTTTTACTTTGTATCAGTCATTTTCTATACATGCTTCAAATGCATTTTTTCTATATTAAGTAGCTTTTACAAAAATTTACAGAAAATTATGAAAATCAAGTTTATTATATAAAATATTCCAAATCTTACTCTATAAATTTGAGCATTACAAACTTATAAACTTTTGTCCTGTTTTGTCACAAATGAAGTATATATTCATTGGAAAATAATTCAAACAATATGAGTAAATGAAGTAAAAAAAGAAAAACACTTGAGAGCTGAATGCCGATAGATCACACCTGTAAGCTTAGCTACTCAGGAGGCTGAGATCTGAGGATCAGAGTTAGAAGCCAGCTTGGGCAAAAGAACCTATGATTCCCAATTAATCACCAAAAAGGTAAAAGTGGGCCTCTGGCTCAAGTGATAGAGCACTAATTTTAAAAAGACAAAGCTAAGGACCTGAGTTCAAGCACCAGTAGAAAGAAGGCAAAGAAAAGAAAAGATAAAAGAAAAGAGAGAAAGAGAGAGAGGAAGGAATGAAGGAAGGATGGAAGGAAGGAAGGAAGGAAGGAAGGAAGGAAGGAAGGAAGGAAGGAAGGAAGGAAGGAAGGAAGGAAGGAAGGAAGGTAGGAAGGAAGGAAGGAAGGGAGGGAGGGAGGGAGGGAGGGAGGGAAGGACAGAAAGAAAGAGGGAGGGAAAGAAAGAGGGAGGGAAAGAAAGAAGAAAAGAGAAGGTGAAACTGAGCGGGGGGGGGGGGGGGGGGGGGGGGGGGTGAGAAGGGAGGGGAGAAGAAAGGAGAAGATCTCCATCCACACAATATAACACAAATGCTTGACCCAGCCAAACTACTTTTTCTCCTCTAACTAAAGATATATGTAAAAAGTACTGTTTATGTTTTATAATATTTGTCTTCTAATCATGGTCTAGTTTAACTATGGTACAGATTTTTAAAGATGAGAAAAGCAGAGGCATATAAATGACAAATGACTGACACAATAAATGGAGCTAAATAAAAAATGCCATCTCAAAAATATGGATAGATCATTTTAAACCTCTTAAGTCCAAGTACTAAGACTCATATGGCAATCACAACTATCTAGAGTCTATGTTTATTTTTATTCATATTACAAAAAAATGCCATTAAATATCTATAAGCTGGACAGATGAAACAAGTAAAGTCACTAGTAGTTTTAATCTATTGAAGAAACATTTTGATTTCATGTATCAATGAGAATTAAAGAATAAATTTTGCTTTGAAAATATGTACTTTTACTATTACCTGTCCCAGTCCATGCTGAATGACCATCAGTAAGTATGATGACAAAACCAGATTCTAGTGTTTTCTCCCATGACACTTGTAGAAAATGAATTACATTAGGTTCAGAAGCAAGACAGATTTTGCTTACTTTTCTCTCCATTTTGGGAAACCTGTAATGAAACAACAAAATTAATATTTTTAAAAAACTGTAATTCTCAAATGATATTTTTGCATGGATTTCTCAACTACACAAACTCCCAGAAAATACAAAATACCAAAAACCTGTACAATAGACTCAATTGAACTCAATAAATAAGTTTAGTTCAATGTTGATTATTATGTTTACAGATGACAAAAGCAGAGATGTATAAATGACAAATGACTGTCACAAATAACTAAACAAAACAGAAATTCCCACCTCAACTACATGAAAAATAAAATTTAACCTCTCCCTTCAACAAGAGTCAAAAGCATTATTTCTATACAAGAAAAGAAATAGTCATAAAAATTGTGTGAATGACCTGAGAATGATCTTGAAAATGGATGTCATTATAATTAGTTTATAATTATAAACTAATATAAATTAAACAAGTGAGGATAAATTTAAATAAGAATGTTAATTGCTATCTGGAGAAAGACCATGTAAAATGAGTAAATCATAAGATCATTTTTGAAACCCAATAGTTGCCTTTTCTAAGGAAAGTTCATTCAGCAAATGAACTGAAAAGACAATTCTCAAAAGTACAAATGTTAATACATGAAGCAATGTTCAACATCTTTATCCATAAAAGATATTCAACTAAAACAATGAGATTACATTTCACTTCAGTCTGAATAACATTCACAAAGAATAAAAAAAATGGAGATGGTGTTAATTGGGATGCAAACTAATGCAACCAGTATGGAAATCAGTATGAAGTTCCTTAAACAACTAAGGATAGATCTTCCTTATGAGCTCATCACATGATTCTTGGGCATATATCAGGAAGAGGAAAACATCAGTACACATGGAAGACCATGTCTCTTTTAGCTTTGCTCATAATAGTCAAGCTGTGGAATCAGCCTAGATTCCCAAAAATCAATAAATGGATGAAGAAAATGTGATATTATATATATATATATAATATATATATATATATATATATAAAATATACATTCCATGAAGTATTGTTCAGCCTTAAAGAGAGGTAAAATTATGTCATTCAGAGGCAAATGTTCAGAACTGGAAAACACTATATTGATCAAGAAAGAAAAAGAAAGTTCAAAAAAATGTTTTTCCTAAAATTATGATGATGATGATGATGACAATGATAAAAATAATGGAATGTAACTATTAAAGGAACTGTCTGAAGGGTTAGTGGTGGCAGAATAGAAGAGGAAAAAAGCTACTAGAGAATGTAGATTTAAAAAAAAAATGCAGTCGGGCATCAGTGGCTCATGTCTGTAATCCTAGCTACTCAGGAGGCTGAGATCTGAGGATCACTGGTTCAAAGCCAGCCCTGTCAGGAAAGTCTGTGAGACTCCTATGTCCAATAAACCAACAGAAAATTGAAAGTGGCACTGTGGCTCAAGTGGTAGAGCACTAGCCTTGAGCTGAAGAGCTGAAGGACAGCACCTAGGCCCAGAGTTTATGCCCCACAACAGACAAAAAAAAAAAAAGCATGCATATATATGGATATATGTGTATATACAAATAAATACATATTTATTTATACACATATACAATATTTAGTCATTTTCATTGTGTATCTCCATATATACATATATATGATTTTATATATATATATGTATATATATATATATGAAAGGGGGAAGGAGGGAAGGGGGCTTAATGACTGTAACAAAAGAGATGAACTGGTACAAAGTATATTACATATCTGTGGAATTCTTGTAATAAAACCTTTTTGTATTATTACTGTATGCTAATAAACTATATTTTTTTAAAAATAGTTTAAACACTACTTATACAAAAGCACCTATAATAGAGATAGGTTGTATCAAATTACCATAACCTGAGGCTAATGAAGATATAGACAGAAGTCAGTTATATAATATGGAGTTAAATGAACAATATAACCAAACAAATTTGACAATTCAACAAAACCATGTATATAATAGTGAGATTCAAAACAGAACATGGTGGGTCAACCCTGTGATCCCAACTATTAAGGAAATAGAGCACAGGATGATTGTAATTCAAGGTGCCAATCCAGATAAGTTTGTGAGATCCCATTGCACCTAAAGAAAACAAAAGCTAGTACGTGTGTATGTGTATCATAATAATCATGACGAAAGCATAAATAGGAGGACTGCAGTGCAGGCCAGCCTAGGCATAAACATTAGATTCTGTTCAAAAGATAACAAAAATAGGCTGGAGAGTGACTCAAGTGGTAGAATGCTCTCTTAGAAATGTAAGCACAATGTCCTGAGTTCAAATGCCAATGCCACCAACAAAATAAAAAATAAATAAAAACAGAACATATGCGCCAACACTTGGTCTTGTACTTGTTCCTTTCCTATAACAAACCTCCTCAATTAACCACTATCCTGTCTGTTTTGTTACAAGGACCAGAATTTTGGGTGTTCTTGGTGCTTTACATAACTGTAATTGACATTATGTTCTATATTGTACCTAGCTGCTTTTGCTCAACATATGTATGAGAAATTCATTCAGATTGTGTCTTACATTTGTACATCTTTCTAGGGCCTGAATGTTGTATTCCATTATATAGATAAAATATATCTATGTATTTTTCTAGAGATCAGCATTTAATACTTTCAGGGTTTTGGGTATTACAAAAACTACTTCCATTACCTTTTAGCAGCAATATGTATTATCTCTGTGGAATATATACCTAAAATTTAAATACTAGATCAGAAAACATATTTCTGTATACTATATAGCCAATCATTTGCTTTAAGAGTTCTGCAAATTCACAAGTGATAATAAATTCTGATCAATCCACATCCCTGCAAATATTTCCTATCATTTTCATTTCATAATTTTGATGTATATATACCTAGTAGTATTACATTATGAGTTAATACACATTTCCTGATAAATAATAGAGGCTGAGCTCTTTCAATATATTGTTGGGTATTTAAACAACCTAGCCTATTGAATCTTTTATTTAATTGTAGATATATACCTCATATTTTCATACATTCATAGACAATTAGGTAATTTCTAATTGTAGACATTATAGAGAAAGCTGCACTGACTCCCTTTATGCATATCCCTGAGCTTACATGTAAGAGTTCTCTATCAGATGTGTCTAAATTCTGGGACATAGAACACATTAATTGTACGCAGAGATTTCCTTCATAGGATTCTTGTAGTTCTTTAGTTAGAAGTAATACCATTCTCTTGCATCTCTGTGGAATGGTGCCAATGTCTATCCTGTTAGATAAACTTCATGTTGCCTCATGCGATTACTACTCTGCATAAAATGAATTGATTAGTCACTCATAATATCTACAGCACGTCCAGCCTCCTTCAGCATTCCTCCTTCCACCTAGCATATTTCAATCAACCAAGTTTATAGAGGAGTTTTGAACATCTGAGTCTTGAGACAGTTCTTTGTCATAAGTAAGGGCTGAGATCAAGATCATCTCACCATCTAAAACATCTTGGCTAAATTCCTTTCCTTGCTGTAAAATGCAAGTTTCTAGCTGAGCTGCCAACTCTGGAAAGCATACATGATGATAGGGAAGTAATCACCTGAGGATTGTGATCATTTGGAAAGGGCTCAGGGGAGTTAGCAGATATTTTCAATCTTTTTTTACCTAGGAGTACCAAAAAAAAAAGAATGTGGTGTCAAACAATACCTCTTAAAATACATTAGGAGCTATCATACCCATAGATGAACAAGTATTTGCTGGTTACAGATCATCTTATTTTGGTTAGTGCAAATTAATTCTAAAAGAAAGTTTCACTGTGATACTTGATATATGAATACTTGGATCAAATTTACCTCCTCTGTTTATCTCTCTTTTTTACTCTCCCTGTATTAGTTCTTCTACCAGTGTTTAGTAGGTTTCATTGTGCTGTTTACACACACACACACACACACACACACAAGTACATAATGCATTTCAATGTATATTTGCCCTCTATTATCCTTTTACTTTACCTTTCCCCCAACCACTGGTTCTCCCCATAAAACACTCCCTTTAAATATCAGTTCTTATTTTAATTTCATACTGCATATGAGTACAAATACAAGATAACTCTTTTTAAGCTTCACTTATATCTCACTCAACATGATGATCTTCATTTTCATCTGTTCTGCAAATGATGTAATTTCATTCTTTTTTATAGCTGACTAATACTATGTATATGTACCATATTTTCTTCATTCATTCATCCATCCATCAGCTGACACTAAGGCTAATTCCATAGCTTGGCTATCATGAACTATACAAAAAAAAAAGCATTGAAGACATCTGAATTGCATATTGATTTATATTTCTTCAGATACATATACAAAAATGGCATAGCAGGATCATACAGTAGTTCTTTTTTGACACACTTCCATATTGATTTTAAGGATGGCTGTACAAATTTAAATTACTATCAACACTGTTGAAAGGTTAGTTTTACCTATCACATCCCCACCAGTATTTGTTGTTGTTTTATTGATAACAGTTATTCTGACCAAGAGGTGACATTTCAGTCATTTTTTAATTTGTATTTTATATTAAGGTGAAGGATGTTGAACATTTCTTCATGTATTTTGAAATAGTCAATGAATTCTTTCTTAGTTCATTCAGCCTTTTATTTGTTTTCTCTTGAAATTCTTCTAAGCAGAATAACTTACTTTTACCACCCTAATCATCATTTTTCAATTTTTTCACTAACCTTGGATCCCATGGTTATGGAATTGTTGACTTTTGTAAGCATCATATTGCCTTATCTATTTCGTTTCCTCATATTACTTGTATTTCTGTACTGGAATTTACTCATCTGAGGCCAAGTTTTTCATTATAGGCTTTAGTTTCCTTTCCTTTTAGTTAAGATAGTCACATGTTTAGACACGACTGGGTTGAATCCTGTTTTTGGTGTAGTTACTGACCACTGAACTAGGGCTGTGACTCAAGAGTCAAACTTTTCTTCACTGTACTCGAGATATTGATTCTAATTCTCTTCTCCACTCCAGAAAGAAATTAC